AAACACACAAATTCTACAATCTTCCATCTCTAATACATTCCATTGCTTCCTAATCCTCAAAGACTGGAAGATTTAATTTTGCTTTGACTTTAATCTCTTTTGTTGGCCTTTAAGTCCATGTCCTCTGTTGTCTTTTCTCCAGGAAAGTGGAAAATTAATTGCAATATTTTTCAATATAGTCACAGTTTGATTTTTAACCTATTGTTAATGGCATTATTTGGAAACTGTAGTTTTATGTATCATAGTAATAGAAATCTGATAATTCTTATCACATGACCTATTTTTTCCTTTTTGAAGAGTTGAGTAATACACATACCACATATCACTTTTATGAAAACAACAACGATATGTGAAACTGACTTGGCTCCCCGTGGACTGATTCAGTTGACTGAATTTTATACATTTCAGAAAACCAGTTATTTTGGTGACATGCAGATGCAGCCTGAATTTTGGTCTCAGAACTGCTGAGATGAGGAAAGACTTCTGAAAGCTGGGAGGCCTAGTCTAGCATCTGCTTCCAATGTTAAACGTATGAGGATCTGGTCCAGATGAAACTATGTGCTATTGTGTTGAGAGTATCCTGACACACATTAAGATGACAAAATAATAGTCGACTTTATGATTCCTGGTATTAATCAGATTTAATCCTGGGCTTCTGATTGGTCAGCATCTAAAAGGGCCATGCCAAAGTGAATGGACATAAAAGGCCTTTTTCCAACTCCTGACTTCTTAACATAGAAGTGACCCTCAAGAACACAGTTCATATATAAGCTGGTTTGAATTCAGTAGGAATCGGAAAGCACATGTATATTTCAGTCAGTTCTTTTGTACTGGAGAAACTCTGCCTTCCCAAACTTTGATGGGTTTTTAGAAGTAAACAACAACAAAAATTGCAAATTCTCAACTTGGAAATAAGATGTATAAAAGTGCTATTATCAGATCTTAAGTAGATTCTTTTTAAAAATATATATATTTTATTGCCTTTTTACAGAGAGGAAGGGAGAGAAATAGAGAGTTAGAAACATCGATAAGAGAGTCATCGATCAGCTGCCTCTTGCACGCCCCCCACTGGGGATGTGCCCTCAACCACGGTACATGCCCTTGACCTGAATCGAACCCGGGACCCTTCAATCCACAGGCCGATGCTCTATCCACTGAGCCAAACTGGACTATTTTCTGTCCAGATTCTACATCTGATGTCATCTGCAAGGGCCAGACTGAAATTAAACAAACTTGAATGCCTTCCCACAATGATGCAATAGCAAAGGAAAGTCACCATCACTATTTTTTTCTCTTTAAATGCTGATTTTAAGCTTTTCTTGACATTGCACCTCATATTGTTGGGTATTTTAAGTTGTTTGTCTGGAATCTGACACACTTTAGCCTACATAATTCTGGTGATAATTGCTGAATTTCCAAATTAAAAGGAAAACTGGCACAATACTAGATAATATCGGAGTTTGTTATTTGTGAAGTGCCAATTTTCTATAATTAAGGGAAATTGCTAATTATCACTGGAACTGTTCATTAATATTTAATATTAATGATAAAAATTAATATAAATGCTTTTTTAGTGGCTAAAATTTCTGCTGTCATCCCTTTGATGAATCCAACTCTTTGCATCTTAACCAACAACTGGGCAGTTGTGAGGAAAGTGGAAGTAGCATTATTTTCCCAGAGGTTGTGATGGAAAGTTTAAAATGAAAGACTTAATACATCACTGAACTAGTACTTCTTCCGGTGTTCAAGTGCAAATTGAGAGATTCCCACGGTTAATCACTTACTACCAGTGCCTTTTATGTAAGGTCAAAGTGGCCCTGGTTCGCTAAATAAGTGGCAGAGTCCGCTGTATTCATTTAGTGTTATGAAAAGAGGCATTTATTTATGTGCTTTGTCTACAGCAATACTAATTATCACTATTATATCCCACAATTTTAGGAATATGATAAGAGCAACAGCATTTAAAAGGAGCTAGCATGTTCAAAGTTTAGAGAATGTTTATCACAGACAGCCTTTTAAGTCTTATTTCTAAGCATGTTCTTTGACCCAGAATAAAAGTAAGAACAAATGTAAGTGATGTTTGAAAGCCCTGAAATCTAATAATTTTCTTTCCTTTTCCATAGGAGTTTAAAATATGTACTCATTAACAGGAAAATGTCAGAAAAATTTATAAACTTTTTTTTCTTTTTGCTAATGGGTATAAAAAAAAGTCATTATGAGATAGTGAATTATTCATTTCTTCAAAAAATATTTTCCTGAGTCTTTACCCTGAGAAAGATATTCAGACAACTGTAGGAGACTACTGGGTTGTTGGCCTAGATGCTTTGGAAGGAAAGGAAACAAAGTTAGAAAGGAAAGCTGGTGCTTTGGGGTCAGGATGCAGCTGAGATGAACTTGTCTGCAGGGGGTTGACCAAGAAGACTGAGTGATTAAAGTAATGCCCATGGACTTAGGGTCAGGAAGAAGCTGAAATGGTCAGGGAACTAGGGAGGATAATTGTCTGAGAAACTGAAAAATATGTCCTTGATGGAATCAAGCCATGGACATCATTCAAATCAATTTAGTACAGAACTGATTGAGTTCTTACTAGGTGTTGAATAAAGTCCACCCATAATTTTGAAAACTTAAGAAAAATTGGTGAGTGCACCTGATTTTACTGGTGATGTCAAGTATTCTCTCTTCTTTATGTTATATAATGGTGCTGATGATTAAAAGCTATAGCTAGTGGACATTAGTGCTTGCAATTTAGGTCTTCAAGAGCATGAGGAGATGTTATAGTGGGAAGGGGTCTTAGATATAACCCAATCTAACCTGATACCTCAGGATGAAATTCCAAAGGCTTTTACTCTAGGAGCCAAAATCCTTAAAAGGACCCCATTGGATTATTGAAGGAAAGGCAGTTGGCAGTGACTCTGTCATTCTAGCCTGGAAGCTGCTGTCTGGAGAAACAGCCTTCAGGACCTTCCTTATCTGGTAGTTTTCAGCATATTTCAACTCAAACTTTTCAGGACTTCTGAAAAGGTGTCTAGCTCAAAGAATCCTATAGGTGTCACTCGATCAGTCAAACAGAGTTCTTAGCTTAAGCAATAGAAATGCATTGTGGCTGACATTCAAAAAAAATTATTAAAAAGATATTGGGTAGCTCACAAAAACTCTATGAGGGCCAGAGAACAAGGCTCAGAGGGTTTTTTTTTTTTTAATATATATTTTTTATTGATTTCACAGAGGAAGGAGAGGGAGAGAAAGATAGAAACTTCAATGAGGAGAGAGAATCATTGATTGGCTGCCTCCTGCAGGTCCCACACTGGGGATCTAGCTCACTACTTGGCATGTGGCCTGACTAGGAATTGGACCCTGACCTCCTGGTTCATAGGTTGCTGCTTAGTCACTGAGAGCAACACTGGCTGGGGAAATCTCAGAGTTTATGCACTCAGGAATGGAGCCTGAAGTCATGTTTCAGGATGGTGCCTGGCAGAGAGACCACTGCCCCTGGCACTGAGCCCTCAAGCTTTAGTTGGCACGGCACAGAACTTGAAGCCTGGTGCTACCCCTAGAATCAAAGCTGCCACCGCCTGGATGCTGCAGGATGGCTGGCTAATGCTTCCTGTTGAAGCTCTAGGCGTGGTCAGGATTCTTGGACCTGCCACTGTAGTGAGAATGGCCCACTGTGCTACATAAGGGGCGGCTTCTCCGAACCTACGCAGAAGGTTCCGAAGCTGAGCAACCAAGTCTAACAACATGGCCTCCCGGGCCCCTTACCAAGACTCCCTCCAAACCTTTTCTAAGATGCCTTGTGGTAGGTTAGGAATTCAACGTTTTTGTTTCTAAGTAATACTTTTCCCTGCAAGGTTCCATCCAGACTGCCTGCAGGAGTATGAATATCAGGAACGCTGTTTATAAAAATAAATAGGTGATTATAACAACACAGTATCTAAGAGTTACTAGAGTTAGCGTCCGTGGGTAACCGGAGAGCATCTTTGCTTTGCGTGCTCAGATATCCCTGGCATTCGCCGAGGAGAATGTGGCAGTGTCATGGGTCGTACAGCCTTACATTGCAGGACTTCATTTGAGAGATGAGAGTTGGAAGGTCTCCTCATCATCCCCTTCCCCCCTACCCCCTGACACTGCATGCTTAGACCCACGGAACAAAACAGAATGGTAGGCAATATGGGATATGCTGAGTCATGCAGCTTCTTTCCAGCTCCATCACAGATCGGTAAGGATAGCCATAGATAAGAGCCATAGAATGGAATTCACTTGGCTCTCCCTGTACTGTGAGGCAGCATACCGAGTGCTTTCCATGCATGCATGTATGCAATCCTCACAGCAGCCCTAGAAGGAAAGGCTGCTTTCATCCTGCTTTGCATGTGAGGACATGGACGCAGGGAGAGGAAGTTACCCACCCGGCTTGTCTCTTGTAGGTGGCCAGGTTGGAAGCCCGGCAGGCTGACCCACTCCCTGTTAGAAAAACAAACACAGCGACCCTTCCAGGGCTCTCTGTGGTGGTCAGGAGTAGCATCCCTGCAGTAAGCAGGCTTTGCGCTGGTGGTTGGCACCTCTCAGCAGAAATGGGATGCCATGTTACTGCCACTGGCACAGAAAATTATGCTGAGGTGTGTTTTTTTTTCTCATTCTAATCCCAAATGCAGGGAGCACTGTGACTACCTGGTGTGAAAAATATTCTCAGCATCTCAGCTGATAATTCTCATGAAGCTCTGATGCCTTTTGTGTTTTTGTTTAGATTCCTTTACTGTGCCATGCATAAACTGCCGAAATCTTTCACATACAACCTTCCTATTGCCTATTAATTAGAACGGCCTCCTAATTGCACCCGGAGCTTCAGAATTAAGTCAATATAGTTACAGGGTAGAATTCCCTGCGGGGGGAAATTTATTTATGGGAAGCAAGTGATGTTCAAAACAACAGAAGCAGCAAACAATAAAATTCCCCATAACATCTACACCTCCCCCCTTCCCCATCTCCCTAAATCATTTGAGGATAAAACTCCATTTTCTAGCTGCAGATTAAAATGCTAAGCTTCCTTCTACATCCCTACAAGAGCTGTGAAGTCCTGGAATTTTTCACTCTGTGTCTTTAGACCCCTGTTTTAAAAATGTATTTCTCCTTCCCCTGAAGGAGGTAGCCAGTACCCTCCTCCTCCAGTTTTCAGTCAAAACCGAAAAAGATCACACATCCGTCTTTTTCCATCTGATGGGTTGGTTCTATTTTTTATTTCATGACTAACCATTACCTCATCCAAGCATTTGCATTTGAGGTCATCTCAGCTCTCAGTGTCTAAAGGAATGTCAGCGAGTAACAAAGGCTGGGGAATTTTGAGGCAAGGCAGGATGAACTGAAATCACTTTTTCGGTCAGGAAGGTGGGCTTGATTTTACATTTTGGGTCACGTTGCAATTGGCCAGTGATAAGGTTCAGAACCTTTCTCCTTTAATTTCCAGGGGACAGAGCGACAGTCAGCAGAGATAGACAAAGGCATGGTCCTGGGTTGCTGGTGGATCTGGGGCCTTGGTTCCCGGTGCCCTCACCAGCCTCCCCGCAGGCCCATGCCCTTCACAGGGCCCATCTTCATGTCCTTGCCTGAGTCTGTCTCCTCATTTGCCCCTGCTCCCCCACCTCAGCCAGCCCTCCGATTCTTCCTCCCTTTCACCAGAAATAGCCCGAAGTATATATGCTGACTGCCATCAAAGATTATTTTGGTTAATGGTAGGAAGTTCCAGACACATAATTCATTAGTGGATGCATAAATATATCCAATGCTGCTTATCTACAAACATCCTCATGCCGCAAGCTCTGGCCTATATTTCAAGTCTCGTTAGCTCCTTAACTCCCTGGAGTTCTGAGTCAAGGTTTTCGTAGTTAGCAGAACCTAGATTTGTGAGTCACCGTGTAGAATAAATAGCATTCCTGCTGCTACCAGGAGTCTTGGAGTCAGTGCCTATGGTCTTGGCTGTTGGTGCCATCACTTTCATAAGTGTTTTATGGGATTCACGTTCATCTGAGCCCTCAGTTTTCTCACCTCTAAAATGAGAGGGTTGGATGTGTTCCTAGATTTTTGTGGTTTTTTTTTTATATTTATTTGTAATTAGTGGCATGTATTTGGATCTTTTATTCCCAACGAGAGCTTTTAAAGAAGTTAAATCTTATCTTACAACCTCAAAGGAGATGTTTTGTTTTGCTATACTTCCGGATGAAGCTCACGCTAAATGGGAAAAGAGGAAAGAGCAAAGGATACACAGCTGGGATCACATGATCCATTTCATGGTTCCAGGTAGAGAGAAAAGAAGCTGAGCAAAGGGGCAAAGGAAGAAAGCCCTGCTGGCTCAGGTTGTGCTCCCATCCCCTGAAGCACATTGACAAAGCCCCTGGGACATCATTAGTTTGTCCCACTGCAGTCCTCCGGCCTCAGTGGCCAGCCTTGAAGAGATGGGGCACTGTCCTACTACCCGTGTTTCCCCCAAAATAAGACATCCTCCGAAAATAAGACCTAGCACATGGAAAGATAAGACATCTTCTGAAAATAAGACCTAGCGCAACTTTGGGAGAAAAAATTAATATAAGACACTGTCTTATTTTCGGGGGAACAGGGTACCAGTGCCCAGAGTGGCCTGGAAAAAATGGAGAGGGAAGTTCACACGGAAGGAACAGAGGAAGCTGTCTGTCTGTGGCAGACTGTTCCTGCAGAGTGTGAGTGACCACGGGGACAGTGTGTGGTCCAGCGACAGTTAGGATGCCATGGAAAAGCCACCGTTTCTCTGATTCTCTGAGAGTCAACACAGAGTCCATTGCTACGTTTTGTTGTTGGCTTTGTTTCACCTGGTCTCTCTTGCCTCTTCTTTTTCCCACATATCGACCTGGGTTTGAAGAGTCAATTTGTTAAATGCACCTTCCTTTTCACCTCTTCATTTGTTTTCTCATGTCTCTCTTTTCTTTTCTCCCAGCTATTAAGGGGTCTGTCCTGCATCAGCCCCCACCGGCCCAGGCTCAGTTCATAGAATGCCTAATTTTAACCACTCCCTTGAAGATGGGGCCAGGTTTCCTTTAAAAAAAAAAAAAAAAGAGCTCCTTGACTGCCTGTTCATATCCCTAAGACTTAAGCAATTTCAAAACCTATTGTTTGATGAGAGGTGGAAAGGTCATTTCTAATGACAATTACTAGTACACAAGGAAGAAACTGATTTTTCCCAAGTGAAATTCCTGGCTACCCATGAACTCTATGGAAAGAGGAAGACGTCCTCCCTCTGGGCTGACGGAGGTGCCACGTCTGCAAACTCGCATCCCAGAAAAGACTTTGTGCGGAAATAAACTCTGTGTTAATAAAATAGTATTTATGATTCAGCCTTTCCCCCCTTTTAAGTATCAAGTCGCATCCTGGAGGAACAAAAAATAAAAGAAGTTGATGTCTACTATGTAACTATTGCGGGGAAATTTGCTGCACTGTTATTTGGATGTAATTGGCACTGAGCACCACAATGCACTTGTAATTGGGTCTGTACTTGTTCACTTCAAGGGTCCCATGCTATCTCTACTTGAACCCATTTTTTTGATACCGTTCAGCTCAGCAGTGCCAGCTCACTCTTGTTATGCAGTTGAAAAACTGTGGCCATTAAAAATAGGATACGGTGTGATTTTGTTTTGCGGCGCTGCATGGAAAATCAGCTGCTGTTCATAACAGCTCTGTGGTTGGTTGATTTAAAGCAGGGGGGTGACTTGGAATTGACAGGCAGACAGTTTGTGAAAAGGGATATTGTATCTTTAAGGCTTTCTGACTGATTGTGTTTAACTGCGCCACGCAGCAGGCAGTAATTAGGCTGTAGCTTCACTGAGAGGCTTAAAGCACCAGCTCCGGTTCTCCGTCCTACAGAATTTTTTTTTTTAAGCACAAACATTTTTGGGGGGTTTGGAGGGGCCTCTGAATACAGGATAATTGTTTGACACTGTGAGTGAGTAAGCAAATGAAGGATGGACCCGAGAGGCTTCCTGTTCAGTGTCTCAGGGGACCACCCTGGGGCCCTGGGCCCTTGGGGAGACCAGGCTTTCGACCCAGGAAGCAGTGAGAATTGTGCTAGGGGCACAGGATGTGACTGCTGGAGAAGGTCAAGGTGCTGTTAAAGCAAAAGGAAGGCAGCTCTCCTAGTGTGACATGGTTTCTTCTGGACCATTTCACAATATTAATGAGGCCAGCGGAAGTATGCTTCTAAGATTAATAAACACAATGCCTAATAATTTTTTTAATCTAGGGAAAAGAGAAATGTTCCTTTAGCTAAGCTCTTAAGTAGAAAAGAGAATATGATGTAGAAGTCAATCAAACAAGTCATTAACTTAAGGAGTCGTTTCTATCCACCACTCTTCCTCCCTCACTACCTCCACCAACCCCTTACAATGACCCATTGCTGTTTTGGGAAGTGGTGGACATTGCCAGTTTGTTATTATTTGATAACGACTGAGTTTCAAGTTTTCCAGGCATTTGTTACCACAGAGAAGCAGTCGGGTAAATCTTATATTGACCTTATAATAAATGAATGTTCAGTTGCTGTAGGGTTGATCATAGTGCCCGTCTTTCTTCATTATTAACCAGGCAATGGTGGCTGAATCCCAACTGTATGCAAGATGCTGGGTTCTGGGAGAGATTGAAATTGCTCTGGAATGCAATTGTGATTGTTCCTAATACAATGTCCAAACTTTTCATCCTTTTGCTAATTAATTATATGAGTCAATTATTCCCTATAGATTTGGATACAACTCCATTCTTAAATTGGTATGTTTTTCTTTTTCTTAAGTAATTGCATTCTCCAGGTTTTTCTTAACTATAGATATCTTTACTTATCCATTCTGCCACTTCTGTAGGTTACAGCTGTATATGGATCATAGACATTTTTTTGGTTTTAAATAATTGCTCCTTATACTTGTGAATCACTTCAGGGTTTTTGACATGCTTTTGACATGATATTATGATGTCATTTGGTTCTCCCTCCACCATTCTCAGGGTTGCTATAATCACTTTTAGATGCACAGGAGCTGGGCATTGCAAGGGGCTGAGATTAGGAATCAGATTTGTTGGACTCTGCTCTTCTCACATAACACAATCATATATTCAATCCCAGAATGACTCATCTTCTAATCCAAGAGTAGTGGAAACATTGTGGTATAACTTTATGATGTTATAACATGGATAAAAGTCAAATGTAGGCAAACAGAAAGGTATTCTCAAAGTAAAAAATTTGCTTCTACCAATCTTAAGCCAATCCTCATCTTTTTTCTATAAAGTTTCAAACATTCAGAAGCATGTTTTATCTTGGTGTTGAAGATACATTACTTTAATCTGTAGTCCAAGTTGCATTGATGTGTTTATCTTCCTGAACATGCTTTGTCCTAAGGTCACTGCTTCTATGAAAGATTTGTTCTAAATAAATTATAAATGTGTATCAAAGTCGATCTGCTATTAGCATAAACTCATTCAAACGATATCACATTATTGCTTTGAAGGAAGCCAAGATGAATTCCATTCTATATTCCAAATTTCAAATGTGTGTGTGTGTTTACTTCTATAAATATAGCTATGTCTAAATGTTGAGGTCAATATTTCTACAAATTTCTAAGGTTGGTTCATTTCGTAGTGTTGACAAATGCTCCCTGGAATCAGAATATACAGAAGATCAAAGATTAAATTGCAGCCTCTCCCCGCCCCCAAAGTGACAATAAGCCTAATTCACTGTCAGTTAATGCCAGGTGTTTCTCCCCCTAGTATTAAGTTCTTCAAAAACAGTGGCTGTATAGGACACTATTCAGAGAGGCTTAGCGCTGAGGAGAAAATGATTACATTATCGCGGATGTTATGAATAATTCATGACATCACATTTTGTAATCCTGGTGTTAAGCGTAAAACCAGTGGTTTATTTTTCAGCAAAATGTTTTTGTATCATTTTAGATAGTGCATAATGCAAAACAATAACTGCATCCATAATGCAGAAGGATGGTAGTGAATGGGGTCCTTAATAGTGCTTGCAGCATCATCAGGGGCGTGATCACAATAAACACATTTTTGAGCCAATGCCCATGGGAGCCCAGCGCTTGCTGGAATCTTTTGAGTCCAATAGAGTGGCTGCCTTTTAATTTGTTTTTTGAATATTACATCTGACCTTTATGATGGATCTGAAAGTCAGTCCTTGTATATTGCTAAACCTACAAATGCTTTTGTCCCCTTTTCCATTCAGTTTACTTAGGAGGGTGATTCTATTGGGGGTAAATAGCTAATTTTGAAAATGATGTTTGCTTTTCCAAGATGGAGTGGGAAATACGAGGAAAACCCATGAAGTCTGAACTTACATTCATCGATAAAGGACTTAAATATTCTTGGATAAAATGCCATTTACTTAGCAATACAGCCAGGTACCTATTAGGAATGGCATGTATATCTCGGGATGAGATACATGATTCCTTGGTTTGTTTGAATCCTCTCCCTATTTTGTAGAGAAAATATCTTTTCTTTATAATTATTAAAGGGCATTGAAGGTGGCCTTGTAACTATCATGAAGTAGTTTCCAGGTCATACACAGTGTAGCAACACTCTAACATGAGTCTGATTATTCTGATTTCAGGCTGAAGTAATTGTGTACCTGGACCATCCGTGGCTCCCTTTCCCAGCACCTTCCTGTGGACAGCTCCAGGGCACTCTCTGGAAGCCAGAATGGATTCCTGCTGATTTCACCCACATATTTGTCTTGAATGAAAGAATGGTGCATGCCAGTGGATTGCAAAGCTTTTCACAAAACATCTCCACATTGGAAGTCTCAAGAGTTTATGCCAAACGTTTGTATTACTTACAACCAAATAAACATACTAATCATGTTTTACAACATGAACACATCTGCTGATAATGTTGTAACCTGTATTACTACTTATTTGAAACAATACATTAGCAATCAATGGCTGTTCAGTAATCTTGAAACCCTGTCCTATTTATAATAAATATTAATTATCATTCTTATAGAAAAGTGTGCTTTTAAACATTTCTTCCCAAAAGGATAATTTGGAAACAAGTTAGAATGCTTTGCTTCAATGTGTTTATTTACTCTGATACCAAGAATATTGTTTAAATTCCTATTTCAAAGGTTTTAAGCACATCTATAAATGGGTAGATTATGATAATGTTATTAGGAGAAAAAAAAAAAAGAACAGATGTAGCATCTAGAAGTAAACTATAAAGTTTTGTTAAGAAAGTTTAATGGGGGGGAAAAAAAACTTGACCCAATTAAAAGGAGTGGAAATCAGAATGCTGCATTGGATTTGAAAATAGAAATGCTGAGATGCATGATACACAGTATCTGCTTTTCTTCCGTGAAGGCGATATAAATTACCCAGATCGAACTGGAAGCCGAATTCAGCTTCGTAAAGGGACTGATAGTCTTCTGGGGAGTGCAAATCCCATGTAATGATCCAAAAGTTTAATGCATTTAAAACTATGCCACAGTGGGATAGTGACAAAAGTTGGCATCCTTTTCCAGCCCGCTTTGTATTTCCATTGTCCCCTATGACGTTACCAAGCTTTGATGACAATTTGATCACTCAGTCACTGGCATCCTGCCTTTGTCCCAATGTTCTAGAAAAGCTGCCTCATGAGCGGCCGAGGATTTCTGGTTCCCTTGCCCCCATTTCTTCTCATCTGGTATACGAAAACATAACCTTTTTTTGGGGGGGGGGGAGGTACAGCCTATCAAAAACAAGGGAAAAACTGTGCCAGTATAACTCCAATTTAGAATACTTAGATGGGTGAAAACAATTGCTAAAATAAAAAATCTATTTATCCAATAGCAAATATTTCCATTTTAATTTACAAACTATTCTATACTGGATAAAACACAAGTTCCAGTGCCAACTTGGCCACTTATTGTCTGTGTGAATTTTGGAAAAATTAGTGGGTAAACTGAGGACCTTATTGGCCTGTGAAATGGTAATAGAGACATGGTCTTGGGTTTCCTATGGAAAAATCAATGAAATAATGCACAGGAGAATATTGTATAATGCGTCAGAATGGAAATTATTTTTAGTTATTTAAATAATGCCTTTTGTCAGTAGGTTATTAAAATATACTTTATATTTTATTATTTTTTAAAAAAATACATTTTTTTATTTCAGAGAGGACGGGAGAGGGGGAGAGAGAGATAGAAACATCAATGATGAAAGAGAATCATTGATGGGCTGCCTCCTGTACAACCCTTACTGGGTTTGAGCCCACAACTCAGACATGTGCCCTTGACCAGAATCAAACCCTTGACCCTTCAGTTCTCAGGCCAATCCTCTATCCACTGAGCCAAACCATCTAGGGCTAAAATACACTTGAAAAATTAAATTTATTCAAAAGGCAAAAAATAACCACCCCAAAATATTAGGAGGTGCATCTATATCTTTAAACAACCTTTTAAGCAATTCAAATCAGTGATGTGAGCTTTCATGTGTGTCTTGCTTTCTCACACTTAAATGCATAACCTTGAAAGTAATAAAATTTGCTGAATTGGCTATTTCCCTAGCTGCTCAGAACATATGTCAATGGAGCAATAGAGAATTAGCTGTAGCAAAGAAAGATAGGTTTGTGGAAGCCTGTTCAATAATTAATCTGCTGAGTAACTGTATGAATATTTGATAAATATTTAGTCAACTATGTGCATCATGCAGCATTGGTTGCATACTAAAGAATTTGCAAAGGCAAAAAACTGCCAGTCACAGGCATCACAGACCTGGAGATTTCAAGCTTACAGACCGGAGATGTGCAAATTATTCCACATAATATCAATCCATGACTATCCACATGCTGCTATTATGGGAGGGTGATAGGAGGCCATTACATTGTGCTTCACTGTTCTTTTAAAGCAACATTTTAATTTAATAGGTGCTCACCTGCTCACCTGTGTGAGATAAAATATTCTGATGCATACATGCAATGGAATTAACGACCCTGTGTCCTCCTGAAATTCATACTCTGGTGTTAGAACAGCACTGGTGAGTGATCCACTGCTATACGCAATGGAATCAGAACTTGCTGCAGCACCTGGGGTCTGGGCATTTGAATCCAACTTAATAAACAGCTATTAATTGCCTAGGATATTCAACGCTCTGTGCATAAAGAGGAGAGAATATAACATGTGTGAATCTTCTGAGTGCAGAAAATGTATAAAGTAAACCTGTGTAGTCAACATAAATAAAGAAAGAAAACAACAAGAGGCTGCTCTCTGATCTCTGAAAATATATTTTGTTATTAGAATTGGAAAGTTTTCATTTTCCTTTCTAGTTAATACTTGTAAATTGTGTTCTGACATTAATTCTTAGAGAAATCCTCACAAATTCTAAAAAAAACACACCAAAAAACAAACCCTCTAGCGAGCTCATGATCTCCTTTTGTAGTGTCCACAGGCCACCTCTCAGGAAATGCCAGGTACTGGGCCTTCATAGGTCTGAGTAGTTAGAAACAGAAGGTGCGAGTGGCTGCTCTTCTTGGCACCCCCTGCTGGCCAGAGTACCATTAATGATGGCTCCAGAGAGGCCTCATCTTCTCTCTTCCAGCCCATATGAACCGTTGCCATGGCAGCCACAGCATTAAAAAGGAAGGGAGCCCAGGGGCTGCAGCTTGTGGAAGAAAGAGATGACCCCAAATGAGGCACTGGAATGAAATGCCTCTAGTATTTGCCTCTAACAAAAGATTGATCTTGCAGTGAACTGTTCTACCTGGATATATTCACAGGAACCATGTTCTATTCCTTAATTACTCTCCCTCATTTCTACCACTGTACTTCAATTCTATATTTCCCTCTTATGCTCCGTTTTCACACATGACCAGTAAAATAAAAATACACTGAACAAAGGCAAACAAAGACACAGCACAAAATGTCTTTTTACACTAATAGAAGCAATTTATGGATTAATATTATTATGATGGTAATGCTTCTCAAATTGATCTGTAGATACAATGCAATCCCTATCAGAATCTCATCTGGTTTCTTTGTAGAAATTGACAAGCTGATTTCTAAAATTTGCTATATAGAAAATTATATAGAATTGCAATGGAATCATAATAGCCCAAACAAGCTTTGGAAAAAGAAGACAAAACTAGAGAACTCACACCTCCTGATTTCAAAACTTATCCACAAAATAATGTAATCAAGACTGTGGTATTGGCACAAAGATAGACGATGGATTAAAATTAAGAGCCTAGAAATAAAACCATGTGTCCATGGTCAATAAACTTTCAACAAGGGAGGCAAACCATTAAATAGTCAAGAAATAGTCTTTTGAACAAATGATAGCCACATGAAAAAGAATAAAGTCGGACCCTTACCTCACACCATACATAAAAAGAAATTTATAATAAATCAAACACTCAAATGTAAGAGCTAAAACCTAACTCTTGGAATAAAATGTAGGCGTTAAAATTTATTACCTTGGATTTGGCAATGAACTTTCATATAAGCAATAAAAGAAAATAAAAAGATAAATTGGACAACATCCAAATTAAAGGCATTTGTACTTCAAAGAACACAATCAATAAAATGAAAAGGTAACCCCCCAAATAGGAGAAAATATTTATAAATCATATGTGTAATATTAGACTTGTATAAGAATATGAAGACTTACAACTCAATAAAAAAAAAAAAAGGCCTGCCCTAGCTCGTTTGTCTCAGTGGATAGAGCGTCAACCTGTGGGGTACCAGGTTTGATTCCAGGATGTGGGCTTGATCTCCATTAGGGGAATTCAGGAGGCAGCCAATCAATGATTCTCTCTCCTCATTCATGTTTCTATCTCTCTCTCCCACTCCCTTCTTGTCTGAAATCAATAAAAATAAATTTAAAACACACACACAAAAAAAACAAATGACCCAATTAATATTGGCAAAGACAGACGTTTCTCTAATGGAGATATAAAAATGGCCAATAAGCACATGAGAACATGCTCAATAGCATTATATTCAAGGAAATGCAAATCAATACCACAGTGAGAATTCACTTCTCATTGACTAGGATGGCTAAGTACAAAATAATTAGATAAATGTTGGTGAGGATGTATAAAATTCAGAACACTTGTACATTATATGTGGAAATGTAAAATGACTTAGTGACTTTGAAAACAACGTGGCGATTCCTTAAATGGTTAATATAGAGATACCATATGACCCAGAAAGTCTACTCCCAATACCAAGGAAAGTCTATGTCCACACAAAACTTATACAAGAATGCTTATGGCAACATATTTATAATAACTAAAGGTAGAGACAACCCAAATATGCATCAACAAATGAATGTATAAACAAAACGTAGTATATCTATATGGTGGAATATTATTCAGCCATAAAAAAGAATGGGATATTAATATATTCTACAGCATAAATGTTACCTTGAAAATGTAGCGCTAAATAAAAGAAGCCAGTCATAAAAGAATACATATTATATGATTCCCTTTACATAAAATGTTCAGAACAAGCAACTCTATGGAGATACAAAGATCAGTGGTTGCTGAGGGCTGGAGGGAATGAAGATAGACAGGTGATATTACAGTTTCTTCTGAGATGATAAAAATGCTCTAAAATTGTCTGTGGTGATGTTTGCACATATCTGTGAATATGCTAAAAACCAATTAAAATACACATTTAAAATGTGTGAATTGTATGGTATTTAAATTATATCTCAATAAAACTGTTAAAAAACGAAGTGACTTTTACAATATTAGAGTCAGTTTACACGGAGAGAGGACAAACTCGCATCC